AGCGTGGGGAGCGAGAGGCATGTCGTGTTGCTGTGCTGCTTGAAGCGTGGGGAGCGAGAGGCATGTCGTGTTGCTGTGCTGCTTGAAGCGTGGGGAGCGAGAGGCATGTCGTGTTGCTGTGCTGCTTGAAGCGTGGGGAGCGAGAGGCATGTCGTGTTGCTGTGCTGCTTGAAGCGTGGGGAGCGAGAGGCATGTCGTGTTGCTGTGCTGCTTGAAGCGTGGGGAGCGAGAGGCATGTCGTGTTGCTGTGCTGCTTGAAGCGTGGGGAGCGAGAGGCATGTCGTGTTGCTGTGCTGCTTGAAGCGTGGGGAGCGAGAGGCATGTCGTGTTGCTGTGCTGCTTGAAGCGTGGGGAGCGAGAGGCATGTCGTGTTGCTGTGCTGCTTGAAGCGTGGGGAGCGAGAGGCATGTCGTGTTGCTGTGCTGCTTGAAGCGTGGGGAGCGAGAGGCATGTCGTGTTGCTGTGCTGCTTGAAGCGTGGGGAGCGAGAGGCATGTCGTGTTGCTGTGCTGCTTGAAGCGTGGGGAGCGAGAGGCATGTCGTGTTGCTGTGCTGCTTGAAGCGTGGGGAGCGAGAGGCATGTCGTGTTGCTGTGCTGCTTGAAGCGTGGGGAGCGAGAGGCATGTCGTGTTGCTGTGCTGCTTGAAGCGTGGGGAGCGAGAGGCATGTCGTGTTGCTGTGCTGCTTGAAGCGTGGGGAGCGAGAGGCATGTCGTGTTGCTGTGCTGCTTGAAGCGTGGGGAGCGAGAGGCATGTCGTGTTGCTGTGCTGCTTGAAGCGTGGGGAGCGAGAGGCATGTCGTGTTGCTGTGCTGCTTGAAGCGTGGGGAGCGAGAGGCATGTCGTGTTGCTGTGCTGCTTGAAGCGTGGGGAGCGAGAGGCATGTCGTGTTGCTGTGCTGCTTGAAGCGTGGGGAGCGAGAGGCATGTCGTGTTGCTGTGCTGCTTGAAGCGTGGGGAGCGAGAGGCATGTCGTGTTGCTGTGCTGCTTGAAGCGTGGGGAGCGAGAGGCATGTCGTGTTGCTGTGCTGCTTGAAGCGTGGGGAGCGAGAGGCATGTCGTGTTGCTGTGCTGCTTGAAGCGTGGGGAGCGAGAGGCATGTCGTGTTGCTGTGCTGCTTGAAGCGTGGGGAGCGAGAGGCATGTCGTGTTGCTGTGCTGCTTGAAGCGTGGGGAGCGAGAGGCATGTCGTGTTGCTGTGCTGCTTGAAGCGTGGGGAGCGAGAGGCATGTCGTGTTGCTGTGCTGCTTGAAGCGTGGGGAGCGAGAGGCATGTCGTGTTGCTGTGCTGCTTGAAGCGTGGGGAGCGAGAGGCATGTCGTGTTGCTGTGCTGCTTGAAGCGTGGGGAGCGAGAGGCATGTCGTGTTGCTGTGCTGCTTGAAGCGTGGGGAGCGAGAGGCATGTCGTGTTGCTGTGCTGCTTGAAGCGTGGGGAGCGAGAGGCATGTCGTGTTGCTGTGCTGCTTGAAGCGTGGGGAGCGAGAGGCATGTCGTGTTGCTGTGCTGCTTGAAGCGTGGGGAGCGAGAGGCATGTCGTGTTGCTGTGCTGCTTGAAGCGTGGGGAGCGAGAGGCATGTCGTGTTGCTGTGCTGCTTGAAGCGTGGGGAGCGAGAGGCATGTCGTGTTGCTGTGCTGCTTGAAGCGTGGGGAGCGAGAGGCATGTCGTGTTGCTGTGCTGCTTGAAGCGTGGGGAGCGAGAGGCATGTCGTGTTGCTGTGCTGCTTGAAGCGTGGGGAGCGAGAGGCATGTCGTGTTGCTGTGCTGCTTGAAGCGTGGGGAGCGAGAGGCATGTCGTGTTGCTGTGCTGCTTGAAGCGTGGGGAGCGAGAGGCATGTCGTGTTGCTGTGCTGCTTGAAGCGTGGGGAGCGAGAGGCATGTCGTGTTGCTGTGCTGCTTGAAGCGTGGGGAGCGAGAGGCATGTCGTGTTGCTGTGCTGCTTGAAGCGTGGGGAGCGAGAGGCATGTCGTGTTGCTGTGCTGCTTGAAGCGTGGGGAGCGAGAGGCATGTCGTGTTGCTGTGCTGCTTGAAGCGTGGGGAGCGAGAGGCATGTCGTGTTGCTGTGCTGCTTGAAGCGTGGGGAGCGAGAGGCATGTCGTGTTGCTGTGCTGCTTGAAGCGTGGGGAGCGAGAGGCATGTCGTGTTGCTGTGCTGCTTGAAGCGTGGGGAGCGAGAGGCATGTCGTGTTGCTGTGCTGCTTGAAGCGTGGGGAGCGAGAGGCATGTCGTGTTGCTGTGCTGCTTGAAGCGTGGGGAGCGAGAGGCATGTCGTGTTGCTGTGCTGCTTGAAGCGTGGGGAGCGAGAGGCATGTCGTGTTGCTGTGCTGCTTGAAGCGTGGGGAGCGAGAGGCATGTCGTGTTGCTGTGCTGCTTGAAGCGTGGGGAGCGAGAGGCATGTCGTGTTGCTGTGCTGCTTGAAGCGTGGGGAGCGAGAGGCATGTCGTGTTGCTGTGCTGCTTGAAGCGTGGGGAGCGAGAGGCATGTCGTGTTGCTGTGCTGCTTGAAGCGTGGGGAGCGAGAGGCATGTCGTGTTGCTGTGCTGCTTGAAGCGTGGGGAGCGAGAGGCATGTCGTGTTGCTGTGCTGCTTGAAGCGTGGGGAGCGAGAGGCATGTCGTGTTGCTGTGCTGCTTGAAGCGTGGGGAGCGAGAGGCATGTCGTGTTGCTGTGCTGCTTGAAGCGTGGGGAGCGAGAGGCATGTCGTGTTGCTGTGCTGCTTGAAGCGTGGGGAGCGAGAGGCATGTCGTGTTGCTGTGCTGCTTGAAGCGTGGGGAGCGAGAGGCATGTCGTGTTGCTGTGCTGCTTGAAGCGTGGGGAGCGAGAGGCATGTCGTGTTGCTGTGCTGCTTGAAGCGTGGGGAGCGAGAGGCATGTCGTGTTGCTGTGCTGCTTGAAGCGTGGGGAGCGAGAGGCATGTCGTGTTGCTGTGCTGCTTGAAGCGTGGGGAGCGAGAGGCATGTCGTGTTGCTGTGCTGCTTGAAGCGTGGGGAGCGAGAGGCATGTCGTGTTGCTGTGCTGCTTGAAGCGTGGGGAGCGAGAGGCATGTCGTGTTGCTGTGCTGCTTGAAGCGTGGGGAGCGAGAGGCATGTCGTGTTGCTGTGCTGCTTGAAGCGTGGGGAGCGAGAGGCATGTCGTGTTGCTGTGCTGCTTGAAGCGTGGGGAGCGAGAGGCATGTCGTGTTGCTGTGCTGCTTGAAGCGTGGGGAGCGAGAGGCATGTCGTGTTGCTGTGCTGCTTGAAGCGTGGGGAGCGAGAGGCATGTCGTGTTGCTGTGCTGCTTGAAGCGTGGGGAGCGAGAGGCATGTCGTGTTGCTGTGCTGCTTGAAGCGTGGGGAGCGAGAGGCATGTCGTGTTGCTGTGCTGCTTGAAGCGTGGGGAGCGAGAGGCATGTCGTGTTGCTGTGCTGCTTGAAGCGTGGGGAGCGAGAGGCATGTCGTGTTGCTGTGCTGCTTGAAGCGTGGGGAGCGAGAGGCATGTCGTGTTGCTGTGCTGCTTGAAGCGTGGGGAGCGAGAGGCATGTCGTGTTGCTGTGCTGCTTGAAGCGTGGGGAGCGAGAGGCATGTCGTGTTGCTGTGCTGCTTGAAGCGTGGGGAGCGAGAGGCATGTCGTGTTGCTGTGCTGCTTGAAGCGTGGGGAGCGAGAGGCATGTCGTGTTGCTGTGCTGCTTGAAGCGTGGGGAGCGAGAGGCATGTCGTGTTGCTGTGCTGCTTGAAGCGTGGGGAGCGAGAGGCATGTCGTGTTGCTGTGCTGCTTGAAGCGTGGGGAGCGAGAGGCATGTCGTGTTGCTGTGCTGCTTGAAGCGTGGGGAGCGAGAGGCATGTCGTGTTGCTGTGCTGCTTGAAGCGTGGGGAGCGAGAGGCATGTCGTGTTGCTGTGCTGCTTGAAGCGTGGGGAGCGAGAGGCATGTCGTGTTGCTGTGCTGCTTGAAGCGTGGGGAGCGAGAGGCATGTCGTGTTGCTGTGCTGCTTGAAGCGTGGGGAGCGAGAGGCATGTCGTGTTGCTGTGCTGCTTGAAGCGTGGGGAGCGAGAGGCATGTCGTGTTGCTGTGCTGCTTGAAGCGTGGGGAGCGAGAGGCATGTCGTGTTGCTGTGCTGCTTGAAGCGTGGGGAGCGAGAGGCATGTCGTGTTGCTGTGCTGCTTGAAGCGTGGGGAGCGAGAGGCATGTCGTGTTGCTGTGCTGCTTGAAGCGTGGGGAGCGAGAGGCATGTCGTGTTGCTGTGCTGCTTGAAGCGTGGGGAGCGAGAGGCATGTCGTGTTGCTGTGCTGCTTGAAGCGTGGGGAGCGAGAGGCATGTCGTGTTGCTGTGCTGCTTGAAGCGTGGGGAGCGAGAGGCATGTCGTGTTGCTGTGCTGCTTGAAGCGTGGGGAGCGAGAGGCATGTCGTGTTGCTGTGCTGCTTGAAGCGTGGGGAGCGAGAGGCATGTCGTGTTGCTGTGCTGCTTGAAGCGTGGGGAGCGAGAGGCATGTCGTGTTGCTGTGCTGCTTGAAGCGTGGGGAGCGAGAGGCATGTCGTGTTGCTGTGCTGCTTGAAGCGTGGGGAGCGAGAGGCATGTCGTGTTGCTGTGCTGCTTGAAGCGTGGGGAGCGAGAGGCATGTCGTGTTGCTGTGCTGCTTGAAGCGTGGGGAGCGAGAGGCATGTCGTGTTGCTGTGCTGCTTGAAGCGTGGGGAGCGAGAGGCATGTCGTGTTGCTGTGCTGCTTGAAGCGTGGGGAGCGAGAGGCATGTCGTGTTGCTGTGCTGCTTGAAGCGTGGGGAGCGAGAGGCATGTCGTGTTGCTGTGCTGCTTGAAGCGTGGGGAGCGAGAGGCATGTCGTGTTGCTGTGCTGCTTGAAGCGTGGGGAGCGAGAGGCATGTCGTGTTGCTGTGCTGCTTGAAGCGTGGGGAGCGAGAGGCATGTCGTGTTGCTGTGCTGCTTGAAGCGTGGGGAGCGAGAGGCATGTCGTGTTGCTGTGCTGCTTGAAGCGTGGGGAGCGAGAGGCATGTCGTGTTGCTGTGCTGCTTGAAGCGTGGGGAACGAGAGCATGTCGTGTTGTTGCTGTGCTGCTTGAAGCGTGGGGAGCGTGGTGTCGTGTTGCTGTGTGCTTGAAGCGTGGGGAGCGAGAGGCATGTCGTGTTGCTGTGCTGCTTGAAGCGTGGGGAGCGAGAGGCATGTCGTGTTGCTGTGCTGCTTGAAGCGTGGGGAGCGAGAGGCATGTCGTGTTGCTGTGCTGCTTGAAGCGTGGGGAGCGAGAGGCATGTCGTGTTGCTGTGCTGCTTGAAGCGTGGGGAGCGAGAGGCATGTCGTGTTGCTGTGCTGCTTGAAGCGTGGGGAGCGAGAGGCATGTCGTGTTGCTGTGCTGCTTGAAGCGTGGGGAGCGAGAGGCATGTCGTGTTGCTGTGCTGCTTGAAGCGTGGGGAGCGAGAGGCATGTCGTGTTGCTGTGCTGCTTGAAGCGTGGGGAGCGAGAGGCATGTCGTGTTGCTGTGCTGCTTGAAGCGTGGGGAGCGAGAGGCATGTCGTGTTGCTGTGCTGCTTGAAGCGTGGGGAGCGAGAGGCATGTCGTGTTGCTGTGCTGCTTGAAGCGTGGGGAGCGAGAGGCATGTCGTGTTGCTGTGCTGCTTGAAGCGTGGGGAGCGAGAGGCATGTCGTGTTGCTGTGCTGCTTGAAGCGTGGGGAGCGAGAGGCATGTCGTGTTGCTGTGCTGCTTGAAGCGTGGGGAGCGAGAGGCATGTCGTGTTGCTGTGCTGCTTGAAGCGTGGGGAGCGAGAGGCATGTCGTGTTGCTGTGCTGCTTGAAGCGTGGGGAGCGAGAGGCATGTCGTGTTGCTGTGCTGCTTGAAGCGTGGGGAGCGAGAGGCATGTCGTGTTGCTGTGCTGCTTGAAGCGTGGGGAGCGAGAGGCATGTCGTGTTGCTGTGCTGCTTGAAGCGTGGGGAGCGAGAGGCATGTCGTGTTGCTGTGCTGCTTGAAGCGTGGGGAGCGAGAGGCATGTCGTGTTGCTGTGCTGCTTGAAGCGTGGGGAGCGAGAGGCATGTCGTGTTGCTGTGCTGCTTGAAGCGTGGGGAGCGAGAGGCATGTCGTGTTGCTGTGCTGCTTGAAGCGTGGGGAGCGAGAGGCATGTCGTGTTGCTGTGCTGCTTGAAGCGTGGGGAGCGAGAGGCATGTCGTGTTGCTGTGCTGCTTGAAGCGTGGGGAGCGAGAGGCATGTCGTGTTGCTGTGCTGCTTGAAGCGTGGGGAGCGAGAGGCATGTCGTGTTGCTGTGCTGCTTGAAGCGTGGGGAGCGAGAGGCATGTCGTGTTGCTGTGCTGCTTGAAGCGTGGGAACGAGAGGCATGTCGTGTTGCTGTGCTGCTTGAAGCGTGGGGAGCGAGAGGCATGTCGTGTTGCTGTGCTGCTTGAAGCGTGGGGAGCGAGAGGCATGTCGTGTTGCTGTGCTGCTTGAAGCGTGGGGAGCGAGAGGCATGTCGTGTTGCTGTGCTGCTTGAAGCGTGGGGAGCGAGAGGCATGTCGTGTTGCTGTGCTGCTTGAAGCGTGGGGAGCGAGAGGCATGTCGTGTTGCTGTGCTGCTTGAAGCGTGGGGAGCGAGAGGCATGTCGTGTTGCTGTGCTGCTTGAAGCGTGGGGAGCGAGAGGCATGTCGTGTTGCTGTGCTGCTTGAAGCGTGGGGAGCGAGAGGCATGTCGTGTTGCTGTGCTGCTTGAAGCGTGGGGAGCGAGAGGCATGTCGTGTTGCTGTGCTGCTTGAAGCGTGGGGGAACGAGAGGCATGTCGTGTTGCTGTGCTGCTTGAAGCGTGGGGAGCGAGAGGCATGTCGTGTTGCTGTGCTGCTTGAAGCGTGGGGAGCGAGAGGCATGTCGTGTTGCTGTGCTGCTTGAAGCGTGGGGAGCGAGAGGCATGTCGTGTTGCTGTGCTGCTTGAAGCGTGGGGAGCGAGAGGCATGTCGTGTTGCTGTGCTGCTTGAAGCGTGGGGAGCGAGAGGCATGTCGTGTTGCTGTGCTGCTTGAAGCGTGGGGAGCGAGAGGCATGTCGTGTTGCTGTGCTGCTTGAAGCGTGGGGAGCGAGAGGCATGTCGTGTTGCTGTGCTGCTTGAAGCGTGGGGAGCGAGAGGCATGTCGTGTTGCTGTGCTGCTTGAAGCGTGGGGAGCGAGAGGCATGTCGTGTTGCTGTGCTGCTTGAAGCGTGGGGAGCGAGAGGCATGTCGTGTTGCTGTGCTGCTTGAAGCGTGGGGAGCGAGAGGCATGTCGTGTTGCTGTGCTGCTTGAAGCGTGGGGAGCGAGAGGCATGTCGTGTTGCTGTGCTGCTTGAAGCGTGGGGAGCGAGAGGCATGTCGTGTTGCTGTGCTGCTTGAAGCGTGGGGAGCGAGAGGCATGTCGTGTTGCTGTGCTGCTTGAAGCGTGGGGAGCGAGAGGCATGTCGTGTTGCTGTGCTGCTTGAAGCGTGGGGAGCGAGAGGCATGTCGTGTTGCTGTGCTGCTTGAAGCGTGGGGAGCGAGAGGCATGTCGTGTTGCTGTGCTGCTTGAAGCGTGGGGAGCGAGAGGCATGTCGTGTTGCTGTGCTGCTTGAAGCGTGGGGAGCGAGAGGCATGTCGTGTTGCTGTGCTGCTTGAAGCGTGGGGAGCGAGAGGCATGTCGTGTTGCTGTGCTGCTTGAAGCGTGGGGAGCGAGAGGCATGTCGTGTTGCTGTGCTGCTTGAAGCGTGGGGAGCGAGAGGCATGTCGTGTTGCTGTGCTGCTTGAAGCGTGGGGAGCGAGAGGCATGTCGTGTTGCTGTGCTGCTTGAAGCGTGGGGAGCGAGAGGCATGTCGTGTTGCTGTGCTGCTTGAAGCGTGGGGAGCGAGAGGCATGTCGTGTTGCTGTGCTGCTTGAAGCGTGGGGAGCGAGAGGCATGTCGTGTTGCTGTGCTGCTTGAAGCGTGGGGAGCGAGAGGCATGTCGTGTTGCTGTGCTGCTTGAAGCGTGGGGAGCGAGAGGCATGTCGTGTTGCTGTGCTGCTTGAAGCGTGGGGAGCGAGAGGCATGTCGTGTTGCTGTGCTGCTTGAAGCGTGGGGAGCGAGAGGCATGTCGTGTTGCTGTGCTGCTTGAAGCGTGGGGAGCGAGAGGCATGTCGTGTTGCTGTGCTGCTTGAAGCGTGGGGAGCGAGAGGCATGTCGTGTTGCTGTGCTGCTTGAAGCGTGGGGAGCGAGAGGCATGTCGTGTTGCTGTGCTGCTTGAAGCGTGGGGAGCGAGAGGCATGTCGTGTTGCTGTGCTGCTTGAAGCGTGGGGAGCGAGAGGCATGTCGTGTTGCTGTGCTGCTTGAAGCGTGGGGAGCGAGAGGCATGTCGTGTTGCTGTGCTGCTTGAAGCGTGGGGAGCGAGAGGCATGTCGTGTTGCTGTGCTGCTTGAAGCGTGGGGAGCGAGAGGCATGTCGTGTTGCTGTGCTGCTTGAAGCGTGGGGAGCGAGAGGCATGTCGTGTTGCTGTGCTGCTTGAAGCGTGGGGAGCGAGAGGCATGTCGTGTTGCTGTGCTGCTTGAAGCGTGGGGAGCGAGAGGCATGTCGTGTTGCTGTGCTGCTTGAAGCGTGGGGAGCGAGAGGCATGTCGTGTTGCTGTGCTGCTTGAAGCGTGGGGAGCGAGAGGCATGTCGTGTTGCTGTGCTGCTTGAAGCGTGGGGAGCGAGAGGCATGTCGTGTTGCTGTGCTGCTTGAAGCGTGGGGAGCGAGAGGCATGTCGTGTTGCTGTGCTGCTTGAAGCGTGGGGAGCGAGAGGCATGTCGTGTTGCTGTGCTGCTTGAAGCGTGGGGAGCGAGAGGCATGTCGTGTTGCTGTGCTGCTTGAAGCGTGGGGAGCGAGAGGCATGTCGTGTTGCTGTGCTGCTTGAAGCGTGGGGAGCGAGAGGCATGTCGTGTTGCTGTGCTGCTTGAAGCGTGGGGAGCGAGAGGCATGTCGTGTTGCTGTGCTGCTTGAAGCGTGGGGAGCGAGAGGCATGTCGTGTTGCTGTGCTGCTTGAAGCGTGGGGAGCGAGAGGCATGTCGTGTTGCTGTGCTGCTTGAAGCGTGGGGAGCGAGAGGCATGTCGTGTTGCTGTGCTGCTTGAAGCGTGGGGAGCGAGAGGCATGTCGTGTTGCTGTGCTGCTTGAAGCGTGGGGAGCGAGAGGCATGTCGTGTTGCTGTGCTGCTTGAAGCGTGGGGAGCGAGAGGCATGTCGTGTTGCTGTGCTGCTTGAAGCGTGGGGAGCGAGAGGCATGTCGTGTTGCTGTGCTGCTTGAAGCGTGGGGAGCGAGAGGCATGTCGTGTTGCTGTGCTGCTTGAAGCGTGGGGAGCGAGAGGCATGTCGTGTTGCTGTGCTGCTTGAAGCGTGGGGAGCGAGAGGCATGTCGTGTTGCTGTGCTGCTTGAAGCGTGGGGAGCGAGAGGCATGTCGTGTTGCTGTGCTGCTTGAAGCGTGGGGAGCGAGAGGCATGTCGTGTTGCTGTGCTGCTTGAAGCGTGGGGAGCGAGAGGCATGTCGTGTTGCTGTGCTGCTTGAAGCGTGGGGAGCGAGAGGCATGTCGTGTTGCTGTGCTGCTTGAAGCGTGGGGAGCGAGAGGCATGTCGTGTTGCTGTGCTGCTTGAAGCGTGGGGAGCGAGAGGCATGTCGTGTTGCTGTGCTGCTTGAAGCGTGGGGAGCGAGAGGCATGTCGTGTTGCTGTGCTGCTTGAAGCGTGGGGAGCGAGAGGCATGTCGTGTTGCTGTGCTGCTTGAAGCGTGGGGAGCGAGAGGCATGTCGTGTTGCTGTGCTGCTTGAAGCGTGGGGAGCGAGAGGCATGTCGTGTTGCTGTGCTGCTTGAAGCGTGGGGAGCGAGAGGCATGTCGTGTTGCTGTGCTGCTTGAAGCGTGGGGAGCGAGAGGCATGTCGTGTTGCTGTGCTGCTTGAAGCGTGGGGAGCGAGAGGCATGTCGTGTTGCTGTGCTGCTTGAAGCGTGGGGAGCGAGAGGCATGTCGTGTTGCTGTGCTGCTTGAAGCGTGGGGAGCGAGAGGCATGTCGTGTTGCTGTGCTGCTTGAAGCGTGGGGAGCGAGAGGCATGTCGTGTTGCTGTGCTGCTTGAAGCGTGGGGAGCGAGAGGCATGTCGTGTTGCTGTGCTGCTTGAAGCGTGGGGAGCGAGAGGCATGTCGTGTTGCTGTGCTGCTTGAAGCGTGGGGAGCGAGAGGCATGTCGTGTTGCTGTGCTGCTTGAAGCGTGGGGAGCGAGAGGCATGTCGTGTTGCTGTGCTGCTTGAAGCGTGGGGAGCGAGAGGCATGTCGTGTTGCTGTGCTGCTTGAAGCGTGGGGAGCGAGAGGCATGTCGTGTTGCTGTGCTGCTTGAAGCGTGGGGAGCGAGAGGCATGTCGTGTTGCTGTGCTGCTTGAAGCGTGGGGAGCGAGAGGCATGTCGTGTTGCTGTGCTGCTTGAAGCGTGGGGAGCGAGAGGCATGTCGTGTTGCTGTGCTGCTTGAAGCGTGGGGAGCGAGAGGCATGTCGTGTTGCTGTGCTGCTTGAAGCGTGGGGAGCGAGAGGCATGTCGTGTTGCTGTGCTGCTTGAAGCGTGGGGAGCGAGAGGCATGTCGTGTTGCTGTGCTGCTTGAAGCGTGGGGAGCGAGAGGCATGTCGTGTTGCTGTGCTGCTTGAAGCGTGGGGAGCGAGAGGCATGTCGTGTTGCTGTGCTGCTTGAAGCGTGGGGAGCGAGAGGCATGTCGTGTTGCTGTGCTGCTTGAAGCGTGGGGAGCGAGAGGCATGTCGTGTTGCTGTGCTGCTTGAAGCGTGGGGAGCGAGAGGCATGTCGTGTTGCTGTGCTGCTTGAAGCGTGGGGAGCGAGAGGCATGTCGTGTTGCTGTGCTGCTTGAAGCGTGGGGAGCGAGAGGCATGTCGTGTTGCTGTGCTGCTTGAAGCGTGGGGAGCGAGAGGCATGTCGTGTTGCTGTGCTGCTTGAAGCGTGGGGAGCGAGAGGCATGTCGTGTTGCTGTGCTGCTTGAAGCGTGGGAACGAGAGGCATGTCGTGTTGCTGTGCTGCTTGAAGCGTGGGGAGCGAGAGGCATGTCGTGTTGCTGTGCTGCTTGAAGCGTGGGGAGCGAGAGGCATGTCGTGTTGCTGTGCTGCTTGAAGCGTGGGGAGCGAGAGGCATGTCGTGTTGCTGTGCTGCTTGAAGCGTGGGGAGCGAGAGGCATGTCGTGTTGCTGTGCTGCTTGAAGCGTGGGGAGCGAGAGGCATGTCGTGTTGCTGTGCTGCTTGAAGCGTGGGAACGAGAGGCATGTCGTGTTGCTGTGCTGCTTGAAGCGTGGGGAGCGAGAGGCATGTCGTGTTGCTGTGCTGCTTGAAGCGTGGGGAGCGAGAGGCATGTCGTGTTGCTGTGCTGCTTGAAGCGTGGGGAGCGAGAGGCATGTCGTGTTGCTGTGCTGCTTGAAGCGTGGGGAGCGAGAGGCATGTCGTGTTGCTGTGCTGCTTGAAGCGTGGGGAGCGAGAGGCATGTCGTGTTGCTGTGCTGCTTGAAGCGTGGGGAGCGAGAGGCATGTCGTGTTGCTGTGCTGCTTGAAGCGTGGGGAGCGAGAGGCATGTCGTGTTGCTGTGCTGCTTGAAGCGTGGGGAGCGAGAGGCATGTCGTGTTGCTGTGCTGCTTGAAGCGTGGGGAGCGAGAGGCATGTCGTGTTGCTGTGCTGCTTGAAGCGTGGGGAGCGAGAGGCATGTCGTGTTGCTGTGCTGCTTGAAGCGTGGGGAGCGAGAGGCATGTCGTGTTGCTGTGCTGCTTGAAGCGTGGGGAGCGAGAGGCATGTCGTGTTGCTGTGCTGCTTGAAGCGTGGGGAGCGAGAGGCATGTCGTGTTGCTGTGCTGCTTGAAGCGTGGGGAGCGAGAGGCATGTCGTGTTGCTGTGCTGCTTGAAGCGTGGGGAGCGAGAGGCATGTCGTGTTGCTGTGCTGCTTGAAGCGTGGGGAGCGAGAGGCATGTCGTGTTGCTGTGCTGCTTGAAGCGTGGGGAGCGAGAGGCATGTCGTGTTGCTGTGCTGCTTGAAGCGTGGGGAGCGAGAGGCATGTCGTGTTGCTGTGCTGCTTGAAGCGTGGGGAGCGAGAGGCATGTCGTGTTGCTGTGCTGCTTGAAGCGTGGGGAGCGAGAGGCATGTCGTGTTGCTGTGCTGCTTGAAGCGTGGGGAGCGAGAGGCATGTCGTGTTGCTGTGCTGCTTGAAGCGTGGGGAGCGAGAGGCATGTCGTGTTGCTGTGCTGCTTGAAGCGTGGGGAGCGAGAGGCATGTCGTGTTGCTGTGCTGCTTGAAGCGTGGGGAGCGAGAGGCATGTCGTGTTGCTGTGCTGCTTGAAGCGTGGGGAGCGAGAGGCATGTCGTGTTGCTGTGCTGCTTGAAGCGTGGGGAGCGAGAGGCATGTCGTGTTGCTGTGCTGCTTGAAGCGTGGGGGAACGAGAGGCATGTCGTGTTGCTGTGCTGCTTGAAGCGTGGGGAGCGAGAGGCATGTCGTGTTGCTGTGCTGCTTGAAGCGTGGGGAGCGAGAGGCATGTCGTGTTGCTGTGCTGCTTGAAGCGTGGGGAGCGAGAGGCATGTCGTGTTGCTGTGCTGCTTGAAGCGTGGGGAGCGAGAGGCATGTCGTGTTGCTGTGCTGCTTGAAGCGTGGGGAGCGAGAGGCATGTCGTGTTGCTGTGCTGCTTGAAGCGTGGGGAGCGAGAGGCATGTCGTGTTGCTGTGCTGCTTGAAGCGTGGGGAGCGAGAGGCATGTCGTGTTGCTGTGCTGCTTGAAGCGTGGGGAGCGAGAGGCATGTCGTGTTGCTGTGCTGCTTGAAGCGTGGGGAGCGAGAGGCATGTCGTGTTGCTGTGCTGCTTGAAGCGTGGGGAGCGAGAGGCATGTCGTGTTGCTGTGCTGCTTGAAGCGTGGGGAGCGAGAGGCATGTCGTGTTGCTGTGCTGCTTGAAGCGTGGGGAGCGAGAGGCATGTCGTGTTGCTGTGCTGCTTGAAGCGTGGGGAGCGAGAGGCATGTCGTGTTGCTGTGCTGCTTGAAGCGTGGGGAGCGAGAGGCATGTCGTGTTGCTGTGCTGCTTGAAGCGTGGGGAGCGAGAGGCATGTCGTGTTGCTGTGCTGCTTGAAGCGTGGGGAGCGAGAGGCATGTCGTGTTGCTGTGCTGCTTGAAGCGTGGGGAAACGAGAGGCATGTCGTGTTGCTGTGCTGCTTGAAGCGTGGGGAGCGAGAGGCATGTCGTGTTGCTGTGCTGCTTGAAGCGTGGGGAGCGAGAGGCATGTCGTGTTGCTGTGCTGCTTGAAGCGTGGGGAGCGAGAGGCATGTCGTGTTGCTGTGCTGCTTGAAGCGTGGGGAGCGAGAGGCATGTCGTGTTGCTGTGCTGCTTGAAGCGTGGGGAGCGAGAGGCATGTCGTGTTGCTGTGCTGCTTGAAGCGTGGGGAGCGAGAGGCATGTCGTGTTGCTGTGCTGCTTGAAGCGTGGGGAGCGAGAGGCATGTCGTGTTGCTGTGCTGCTTGAAGCGTGGGGAGCGAGAGGCATGTCGTGTTGCTGTGCTGCTTGAAGCGTGGGGAGCGAGAGGCATGTCGTGTTGCTGTGCTGCTTGAAGCGTGGGGAGCGAGAGGCATGTCGTGTTGCTGTGCTGCTTGAAGCGTGGGGAGCGAGAGGCATGTCGTGTTGCTGTGCTGCTTGAAGCGTGGGGAGCGAGAGGCATGTCGTGTTGCTGTGCTGCTTGAAGCGTGGGGAGCGAGAGGCATGTCGTGTTGCTGTGCTGCTTGAAGCGTGGGGAGCGAGAGGCATGTCGTGTTGCTGTGCTGCTTGAAGCGTGGGGAGCGAGAGGCATGTCGTGTTGCTGTGCTGCTTGAAGCTGGGGGAGCGAGAGGCATGTCGTGTTGCTGTGTGCTGTGAAGCGTGGGGAGCGAGAGGCATGTCGTGTTGCTGTGCTGCTTGAAGCGTGGGGAGCGAGAGGCATGTCGTGTTGCTGTGCTGCTTGAAGCGTGGGAACGGAGGCATGTCGTTTTGCTGTGCTGCTTGAAGCGTGGGAAACGAGAGGCATGTCGTGTGCTGCTGCTGCTTGAAGCGTGGGGAAACGAGAGGCATGTCGTGTTGCTGTGCTGCTTGAAGCGTGGGGAGCGAGAGGCATGTCGTGTTGCTGTGCTGCTTGAAGCGTGGGGAGCGAGAGGCATGTCGTGTTGCTGTGCTGCTTGAAGCGTGGGGAGCGAGAGGCATGTCGTGTTGCTGTGCTGCTTGAAGCGTGGGGAGCGAGAGGCATGTCGTGTTGCTGTGCTGCTTGAAGCGTGGGGAGCGAGAGGCATGTCGTGTTGCTGTGCTGCTTGAAGCGTGGGGAGCGAGAGGCATGTCGTGTTGCTGTGCTGCTTGAAGCGTGGGGAGCGAGAGGCATGTCGTGTTGCTGTGCTGCTTGAAGCGTGGGGAGCGAGAGGCATGTCGTGTTGCTGTGCTGCTTGAAGCGTGGGGAGCGAGAGGCATGTCGTGTTGCTGTGCTGCTTGAAGCGTGGGGAGCGAGAGGCATGTCGTGTTGCTGTGCTGCTTGAAGCGTGGGGAGCGAGAGGCATGTCGTGTTGCTGTGCTGCTTGAAGCGTGGGGAGCGAGAGGCATGTCGTGTTGCTGTGCTGCTTGAAGCGTGGGGAGCGAGAGGCATGTCGTGTTGCTGTGCTGCTTGAAGCGTGGGGAGCGAGAGGCATGTCGTGTTGCTGTGCTGCTTGAAGCGTGGGGAGCGAGAGGCATGTCGTGTTGCTGTGCTGCTTGAAGCGTGGGGAGCGAGAGGCATGTCGTGTTGCTGTGCTGCTTGAAGCGTGGGGAGCGAGAGGCATGTCGTGTTGCTGTGCTGCTTGAAGCGTGGGGAGCGAGAGGCATGTCGTGTTGCTGTGCTGCTTGAAGCGTGGGGAGCGAGAGGCATGTCGTGTTGCTGTGCTGCTTGAAGCGTGGGGAGCGAGAGGCATGTCGTGTTGCTGTGCTGCTTGAAGCGTGGGGAGCGAGAGGCATGTCGTGTTGCTGTGCTGCTTGAAGCGTGGGGAGCGAGAGGCATGTCGTGTTGCTGTGCTGCTTGAAGCGTGGGGAGCGAGAGGCATGTCGTGTTGCTGTGCTGCTTGAAGCGTGGGAACGAGAGGCATGTCGTGTTGCTGTGCTGCTTGAAGCGTGGGGGGAACGAGAGGCATGTCGTGTTGCTTGTGCTGCTGAAGCGTGGGGACGAGAGGCATGTCGTGTTGCTGTTGCTGTGCTGCTTGAAGCGTGGGGAGCGAGAGGCATGTCGTGTTGCTGTGCTGCTTGAAGCGTGGGGAGCGAGAGGCATGTCGTGTTGCTGTGCTGCTTGAAGCGTGGGGAGCGAGAGGCATGTCGTGTTGCTGTGCTGCTTGAAGCGTGGGGAGCGAGAGGCATGTCGTGTTGCTGTGCTGCTTGAAGCGTGGGGAGCGAGAGGCATGTCGTGTTGCTGTGCTGCTTGAAGCGTGGGGAGCGAGAGGCATGTCGTGTTGCTGTGCTGCTTGAAGCGTGGGGAGCGAGAGGCATGTCGTGTTGCTGTGCTGCTTGAAGCGTGGGGAGCGAGAGGCATGTCGTGTTGCTGTGCTGCTTGAAGCGTGGGGAGCGAGAGGCATGTCGTGTTGCTGTGCTGCTTGAAGCGTGGGGAGCGAGAGGCATGTCGTGTTGCTGTGCTGCTTGAAGCGTGGGGAGCGAGAGGCATGTCGTGTTGCTGTGCTGCTTGAAGCGTGGGGAGCGAGAGGCATGTCGTGTTGCTGTGCTGCTTGAAGCGTGGGAACGAGAGGCATGTCGTGTTGCTGTGCTGCTTGAAGCGTGGGGAGCGAGAGGCATGTCGTGTTGCTGTGCTGCTTGAAGCGTGGGGAGCGAGAGGCATGTCGTGTTGCTGTGCTGCTTGAAGCGTGGGGAAGAGAAGGCATGTCGTGTTGCTGTGCTGCTTGAAGCGTGGGGAGCGAGAGGCATGTCGTGTTGCTGTGCTGCTTGAAGCGTGGGGAGCGAGAGGCATGTCGTGTTGCTGTGCTGCTTGAAGCGCCGTCAATTGTGGTGGCCGGAACGATGCTCGCTGCTGATGGTGGTGACGCGGGTTGGGGGGGGGTTGGGGCATGAAAGGGAGGACGGAGAGTGAGAGGGGAGGGGAGCCGCCTCTCACTGCTCCCCTCTCTCGCTCTCCCTCTCTCTGCTCCCCCCCTCTCTGCTCCCCTCTCTCTGCTCCCCCTCTCTCTGCTCCCCTCTCTCTGCTCCCCCCTCTCTGCTCCCCCCTCTCTGCTCCCCCCTCTCTCGCTCCCCCCCTCTGCTCCCCCCTCTCTGCTCGTCCCTCCTCCCCCACCCCTCCGTCTCCTCCCTTTCCGTCCTCTTCCATTGCTGTACCTCCCTGTGCAACATCTCACTCCATCACATCACAA